ATCAAGAAGGCCTCGCGACCCCCCGTAAAGCTTTGGCGACGTTTAAATCCTGATAAACTTATATTGTGCTAAATTTTGACAGTTTTCTGAGCGTTTTCTAACTTTTAGACAAGTCGACCCGTCTAAATTTAGTAGGATTAGTCGCCAGGAACGCCCCTGAACCCCCCTTTGTTCATTCTTCTTCTGTGTTCTCCGACTGTCCAGGTGGGGAGGAGTGCTTCGAGGTGGATCGTCGCTCTGGTGAGATCAGGACCACGGGACGACCTCTGACCCCGAGTAAGGAGTACCTGCTGCGGGTGCAGGCGGTGGACGGGCGTGGTCGGAAAGGCCTGCCGGCTACGGTGGCCATCCTGGCCGGCTACCGGCCGCCGCAGTTCACCAACTCCACCTACAGCCTGAGCGTACCTGAGAACACACCTGTCAGCCAACCGTAAGTCACTGCAGGTTTTTAATGATCAGAAGAAATAGAAAATAGCACCTGGTATTAATAACAACAAATATTAGTTTATTACTCTAACGTTGTCTTATAAAACCATTAACTTTTAAAAACTAGACATGTTTCAATACCATTTGTTGCTCCCCGATACGGATGCTGATATCTGAGCTGCGTATGGGCCGATCCGATACATGTGCGTTAAAAAATGTATAATTTAGTTTTTACCGACGGAAAATTGTATAAAAAGTTCCTAAAAATATCAATAAAACTGATCAAAATGAATCAAAATCTCTAATTTTACACAAACGTCCTGCAGTTATTGTGTTTAATATTTACAGTTTATCAGCTGTTCTCTTCCCCTCTTGTTATGCATTGAATATAATATGAAATATACATAAAATAAGTCATATTGTGTGTTTCCTGCACAGTATTAATATTAATTATTAACAGTACCTCTGCTCCTGGTGATCATCTGTAGATTAATATCATAGTAATAGTAGTTTTATGTATCTGTAGCTCTCTGTTTGTGTCTTTGTCCTCCATATTTACATAATTTACATTCCTCAGATAGCGAGTGTGTGTGCGTGTGTGTGTGTGTGCGTGTGCGTGTGTGTGTGTGTGTGTGAAAAGATGAGCCCTGTAGAGCCAGACAAAAGAAGAAGGAAGGAGGAGGAAGAAGAAAGAGATGGAGGGATGAGGAGGAAGAGGAGGAGGAGAAGAAAAGGATGGAGGGATGAGAGGAAGAGGGGAGGAGGAGGAGAGGGGGATGGATGAAGAGGACCCAGATGTATGAGTGTGGCCTAAGGCTGAGAATTTGAAAGTGTGGCAAATTCAAATATTTATTAAAAGCGAGGTCTGGATAAACATGAAGGGGAGTGTGTGTGTGTGTGTGTGTGTAGGTGGGTGTGTGGTTGTGTGTGTGTGTGTGCGCACGCATGTATGTGTATGAATCCCTCCGGGCTGCTGGTGCACAAGCACATTGTATTAATTATCCAAGTATCCATGCCACCCTGTGTGAGCAGTGTGTGTGTGTCTTCTGCTTCCATTATGTTCCCCTTTATGTGTGTTTATTTCCTCCCAGTGCGTACTTACTCTCTGTGTGTGTGTGTGTGTGTGTGTGTGTTTTTAGTCAAATTGATTACCCAGGGTTTTTGCGACGGTCTCTGAGTTGCAGAATAATCCATGCAGCCTTTGAACGCAGCTCGACCAGTGCCGTCACGCAGCTCTCTTTCCTTTAAAGAGTCTTGAATGTAGAGCAGCTTTCTGCTGACCTGCAGTCACGTTTACACAGCTGACCTGGTGTTTTGAACCAATTAACTGTATATATAATAATAACAGTATTATAATGACTGTATATATAATAACAGTGGGAAGTGTCTTAAAAACCTGCCTTCTGTGTAAATTCCAGCAGGAGGCGCTCCCTTGGTTGCAATAATACACGATCCCATTCACTTTAATGGAGAAATGAGCCTACCTTGTGATTGACAGCTTCATTCTCAGTGAGTCCGTCCAGCTCAACGCACCAAAACTCAGATCAAACTGTCAAACATGCCTGATCAGATCAGATATTTTAGTGAACCATTAAGCTGTAAAAGAGATCCTGTGTGACTAGGCGAGCGCCTAACGGATTGAGTCAAAACTGAGGGGCCAATGAGAGCAGAACATTTTTTAAGGATTCAAAATATTCAAAGTTCTAATTCCAGTTGATTAATGATCCGAGTCCTCGGTCTCTCTCTCTTGTCCGTGCAGAGTCTCAGTGGTTCAGGCCATCTCCTTCCAGAAGAAGAGTCTTTAATCATGTTTGTGAATCCTGGAATCGTTTCAGCACACGGAGAGCGGAGCGCTCAGTCCACCAGGACCGTCGACTACGAGAGTGGACACAAACCTCCACACACCCTGCAGGTCCGCGCCTCCGCAGCCCGACCACCGGCCTCAAGCGGCGTGGCAGAGGTACGAACACATGTAGACATTGGGTTTAACTGCTGCACGCCTTGTTTGTCACAGATCATGTTTTCACTTCCTGCTGATCGGTCAGGAGGATTTTAAAGTGTTTTTATCACATTATGTTTTTGTTGCTGCACGTAACCTATAGTCCAATATCTGACCCAACACTGACAAAAAACTAATTGTTTTTTATTTTCAGGTTTTCATTATCGTATTTTAGATGAAAATAATAAAAAGTTGACTCATCCTGCACTTGGGGCGTCCAATGAAATACCAGTGATTTTATTTATATATTATATATATATACCAGACCGGATTGGAGGGGAATACATTACAGTAGTATTGAACCAGTGGCAAGGGAAACAGAAAAAGATTCCCTAAAACACAACAAAACCCATCAACCGCATATTTCTCGATCAGAATCTACAATCAGCTCTACGTCTTCTCCCTTGAGCTTAAATATCGCAAAGTATTGGAACACACTAACTGCCGTTAGCTCGGGTCCGACTAACCTAACTGACTCATCTCCGGGATACCAGGAGCCAAACCCACCAAGAAAAGCCACCTTCGATACTGTATTCCCCGTCAAAGACGCATGATGCATGTTTAAGTGTTCCATTTCACTGATAAGTTTGGGTTTGTAATTAGTTATTTGAAGCTATAAAAAAGGGGTTTTAACAGCCGTACAAGGCGTCGGACCCCCCCGCCGACGGCTGAACACGGCGCTCCTCTGGTGGGAAACTCATTAATATGAAATGAGAGAAAGCACTGCCGCTGAATCAGACGCTGTGATGCAACAGTTTGCATTTTACTGTTTATGCTGCTTGTGTGTGTTCATTATGCATGCATTTAAAAACCAAACGCGCCGCCACTCGCCTCCCGTTTTCTACCCGCGGGTGGAAAAAAAACTCCAGCGATCAAAGGCTGCGCTTCACAACCATCGGTGACGGATCTGGTTTGCTGATCAGCGTTTTGAGTTTGGTTACACACAAACACACACACCAAACACAGTGCAGCCGAGTCCTTCCCCACAGTTTATACAGCCAGATATCTGTTCCAATTAGCTGCGCTCACCACATGCTACACATGCTCACACACCTAGAGAAATCCATTACTACCTGGCTCTCACTGCCCAGATGGGTTAGGCAGTTGGAGAATAGCTGCTGAGCTACAGCGTCCCCGAAGGCCTCTGCTGCTGTATAGCTTCGGCTGGCTAAATTCACCTCTGAAGACGTCAACATCTTAACTGTAGGCATCTGACATGTTCTGTTGCTTCAGCTTTTACAGACATTTAAAACCGCGCCCAACATGAAACTCAGTCAAGCTTCGTTACGGGCCTCCAGACTCCAACCAACTCTCTTCTTCTCCCTGCAACTTTTCCTGAGCTTCTTTTGTTGCCTCCAGTTGGAAAGGTCGTTTGGATTCATCTGTACACCAGAGGTTACACAAAAAGAATATAAATCCAACGATAGAGCTGAAACTTAATACAAATTGTCAAATTCTCAAAATTAACGTAAATCAAGTCCCGATTA